TGTCGGAATGATCTCTTTGGATCTTAACACCCAATATATAGTCTGCTCCACGCATATCTTTCATATCATATGATTTGAAAGCCATGACTTAACAGTTTTCACATACTCCAAATTATTTCCAGCTAATAAAATATCATCTACGTAGAGAGAAATAATTACAAAAATTTTATTGGCCTTTATCACATAGATGCAATGGTCTTCATCGATCAAGGTGAAATCATATGAAATCACCTCCTTATGAAATCGCATGTACCACTGCCTTGAAGATTGCTTTAGGCCATAAATTGATCTTTTCAATTTACAAACTTTCTTTTCTTATCCTTTAACAACAAAACCCACTAGTTGTTCCACGTAGATTTCCTTGTTTAATTCTCCATTGAGAAAAAAAGTCTTCACATCCATTTGATGTAATTCTAGATCTAAACGTGCAACAAAAGGTAAAAGTAATTGTATGGAGGTAAACTTTACAACTGGTGAAAAAGTTTCCTCATAGTCTATTCCAACTTCTTGAGTAAAACCTTTTGCCACCAGTCGTGCTTTGTGTCTTTCTATCAATTCATTTTGCGTCTAACTTGAGAATCCATTTATTTCTAATAACTTTATGTTCCTTAGGAAGGCCAACTAGATCCCATACTTTATTGGTTTTCGTGGACTCTAATTCTTCTTTTATCGATTTTAACCATTCATCCCTTTTAGGGATTGACAATGCCTCAGTTACAGAATTAGGTTCATCCAATTATGTAGGAGATACCAAGTACTACATCAAAAATGATCTTTTATGGCAATTAATTATCAATTGCTGCTAAATATATATTTTTAGTGGCAATTAGCACTCTTTGTATATGTCCCTAAAGGCTTTAGCGACCTTAGATCTAATGGCCCTTAACTAATTCCGGTAAAGACTTTAGCACTCTTCATTAATGTGTCTATTTATCGCCACTAAAAGTTATTTTTGTTGTAGTGAAGAAAAAATAATCCTCAATCTCATAAGATCGTTTAGATACACCTTTTCTTGTACTCTTACATATTTGAAGTTCAGATTCCTCTATAGGATTTTGGGATTCATAACTCCCACTTGGACCAGGAATCATTTTTTGATCCTTTGGATTAACAAGTATGTCTGACAATATTACCTGATCTTCTGAATTCAATATTTCGTAGAGAGGCTGAACTTAATCTAATTCACCCTTTTAGGGAAAATCATTTTCCAAAAATCTAACATCCCGTGATAAAGTTTCAATAATACTTCGATCCTCCAGCTCATGGATGAACACATACCCTTTGGAGCGTTAAAAGTACCTTATAAAGATACATTTCTTTCCTTTTGGACTTATGTCACGACCTGAGACTACACTCCAGACGTGACACGGCGTACAAGACTCCGAAAAGTCTTATACAAGCCTCATAGCATGTCATCACATAAGATAATAGAAATATTACGTAATTTAAAACACTTTTTAATCCATACAATCGAAAATATCTTTGAATCAAATGTAAGGTCACGACCCTTTACAATAGAAGTCTAAAAAATGTCTAGTACAATGAAGAAAAGAAACATCAATAAAGCACTTGTCCTCGAATCCACGAAGACATACCACTAGCCTTGGAAGAACTCAATCCAAGCCCTTGAACTAGAGATAATAAACTCAAATGCCGAAACCTACACTTTGTAGAAATTAGAAGAAATATGGGTTAGCACATTTAATGTACTAAGAATGATAGCCATGCAAAAACCATGCTTAAAAAGAACATTTTATTTTGAAAATCATGATATATGCCAATTTGAGAAAACTTCATGAACATAAGTATAAGAGGCATAAGATACAAGCATAATCATCATACAAGTCATTTCATCACATTAGAGCTTTCACCTTAAGTAACCCTAAGCTATACTTGTGCAATGTATGAATAGCGTCCCATACCACCATCCATACTAAGTACCACTTTGAGGTCACCAAAAGTGGACTTACCATTCTTCCTTTTCATCTTTAGACAATACACATACATAAGGAACGTAAACATTTCATAAGTCATGACAAGGAAGTAACTCATAATACCATCCAAGTAAGCATGAATCATTACATTAAGCATTTAAGTCAACATTCTTCATAAGCTTCCTTTTGAGCACATTCATTCATTAGACATTAAGACATTGGAGAATCACACCATAGCCTCTCAAAGCCTACTCGTGAAATGCATGGATGACATCCCATACTACCACCCACACTTCATAAAACCTCTCAAGTAACTATAACATGTATCTGACATGATGGGAATAAGAGTTTAACCGACATAGACCATGTGAGCTTAACATGGATTCCGGTGTCTTGCCCCACACCATAAAAAGGTGGTCTATTTTCCTAAGGTAGGACCGGTAACATTTTAGCCTAGGTGTATCCACTAGCTAATAACCTATGTGGGCACATAGTTATGGGATATGAAGATGTTCATTGGAACCCTAACCTAACGTGGGCAGAGTTTCCATCTTACCATAACCACTCGGTGCTTAGCCTCCATTCCCATAGAGTAGTTCATTAACATTAAAATTATTGTACTTGAGAGTAATGCCATTGGCCTATCGACCCAAGGTACATTATTACACATGAAAGGAACGCCATAATCCTATCGATTCATGGTACATTACAATGATAGCTCATTGAATCCTCATGAAAGTAACGCCATAAGCTTATTGATTCAAAATTCATGATTACGTTAGTTCATTGACTCTTTAGGAAAGGAATGCCATAAGCTTATCTATTCAAGAGTCATCAGTACATTAGTTCATTGGCTCATTATGAAAGGAATGACATAAGCCTATTGATTCAAGACATAGCCTTAGAACACATTCATTAGTCATTTATGAAATGAATGCCATATGCCTATCGATTCATATTCATTAAGTCAAGACACATTCATTAGTCATTTATGAAAGAAATGCCATAAACCTATCGATTCATATTCATTAAGTCAAGACACATTCATTACACAAGAAGAGGATGTCTAATCCTACCAATTCAAGATACAACAAGCCACATTACTTTCATTTATACAAGAAGGGGATGCTTAAGCCTAACAATTCAAGATACAACATTACATTGAAGAAACCCTTCACATTCTATCATCATCATTCATGAGTGTTAATTGAGAATAATCTTTCAATAATAACAAAATTACATTCTAAATATGATCATAATACTTTCATTGTAATCACATGCATATACTTCACATCATGATCATACATAAATCCTTCATAAAATTGCCCTCCAAAGCTATGAGTCAATCTTAACCCAAACATCTACAATACTACATTAGATAAGGGGAACATCATGATTCAATAACTAATTCAATATAAACATGAAATAATTCAACATACTCCCCTAATCAATCAACCCAAATCACAATTCACAATTTAGTATTTTCGGGGTAACATGTGTTCATAGGGAAATTCCATCTTAATTCATCATTAATTCAATAATCCATTCATAACTCATCACATATAAACCTTTGAAAACGTTTTAGAATTTAACCCATACTTAGAATGAAACCCTATCTTTTTTGGGGATTTTAGAAACTTGAAATCATTTTTTGAAAGGGCTCCTTGAATGAAACTTAATCAAAGATGAAGACTACCATACCTTTGTGGAAGAAACTCCACAAAAATTGAGTGAGAAAAGTAAAATCTTGAGCTTCAAAGCTTGACTCCTTCTTCTCCAACGGTGGTTTCTAGAGAGATAATATTTGGAAAAGTGGTATTTTCTAACTTTGTGTTTTGGAATAATGAATTGAAAAAGGTGTTTAATAATTTTAAAAGCCTTAAAATGCTTTAATAAATCAATAATAATCGTCCCTTAACTTAACTAACCTAAGAAGAAATTTACTAATTTACCCCTACATTGGCCGAATCTTGACAGCAACACAGGGGTGATCTATGCCCCAGACCTACACAGACCGTAGGTGGGCTCACGCCTCGTCCTGAAGGTCCGTGGTTTGGGGCAGAACTTGAAACATGCGGCCTTGACCTATGGACCACTCCCACGTGGCATGGGTGGACCTACGGGGCATAGGTCCCTATCTTTTTGACAGCTTTTGCTAAGTTGGGGCAGCCTTGGAGTTACGCTTTAGGGTCCCCCTCAAGGACCCTTGGTTGGTCTTTGGGGGGTCGTACCTTGACGTTTAGCACCTAAACCCCTCAAACAAAGCTCGGGAACTCATTTTACAACTCAAAACCCCACATCAAACTAAAAAAACAAACTCGTTGGGCTCTAGTTTCATCTACTAGTTTTCTGAGTCGTTACATTATCTCCCCCATAGGAATATTCGTCCTTGAATGACACTTTAAACACCTTAGGGAAATTAAAGACTCAAGACTAGCAGCCCGTCATGTTTGAAACATCATAAACAATGCACAATACTCGGAGGTAACATCAACTCCATTTCAAATACTCAATGCAACACAAGAAACCAGGAACTACATCTATGAACTCATTATGCACGAAAACTTCAACATTGTTCATTTCATTGGAGGAATTACCTTCTCAAACTCAAATCATGCTCATCATAACATCATTAAGCACATTATGCAATTTTTCTTTAAAGCACATTTAGGCATGTTTAACAATTCATCTCATGAAGCATATATGCACCTCATACTAAATGCACATCAACATGAGGAACAACAGTCATGAAAACTCATTTTCTAATTTAAACATAAATTCATCAGGAACATGCATAACATAAGGAGACTATGGAAACACATAATCACTCATGACTCCAAAACATGAAACAAGCTACAAGGAACTCCTGATCTCAAGCTTGAATAGGAAATCAAGGAGAGAGATAAGGATATCAGAACTCTCAACAACCTTACTTTTCGACGTATCGTCTCCCCCTTAGAAGTAAACCCTTACTAAGGCTAACATGAAAATAGCATAGGGACCTGAACAAAACATTCACAACTATAAGAAACTTATCAACATACCGGTGGATTCATCCGGAAGGGCTCATTTGTCCTCTTTAGATGGAAGTGCATAGAAACAACCATAATTTAGAGGAATAGGAACCGTACCATCAAGAGAAGCTTGTTTGACCTCTCTTCCTTTGGCCGTGAGTGTTGGGCAATTTCTCACTTGATGATCACTTTTTCCACAACCATAACACCCATTAGTATAGGCTAGGCACTTCCCATAATGCTTCTTTCCACAAGTGGTGCAAGTGGATTTAGGAAATGGAGACCCATTACCTTTCTCTTGGTTAACCCTAGAAGTGCTTGAAGAATCTTGGTTAAAAGCCCTCTTTTTGAACCTTGGTTGACCTTGTTCATCCGACCTAGTCCTTTTCATCTCCCTATTTTTTTTCTTAATTTTGAACTCCTCAATTTGTTGAGCAAACACCATAAAACTAGAGATATTCATGTCATCATGGAGCATTGTTGTATGACACTCTTCCTCAACTAGGTTGGACACACCCTTCACATATCTACTCATCTCATCCCTAGAGTTAGACACCAAAGATGGAGCATACATAGTCAATAGGGTAAATTTCAAGGAATACTCTTGCACACTCATGCTACCTTGCCTAAGGTTGATAAAATCCTTCACTGTAGCTTCCCTCTTCTCACGGGGTAAAACCTACCAAGGAATGCTTCCTTGAACATTTCCCAATCTATAGGCCCCGCTCCTACCGGCCTATTACTCTTCCATTGAGTGAACCAAACTTGGGCAACATCCTTCAATTGATTAGTGGCTAGTTCTTTTTTTTTTATATAGAATTCACCCTCATAGCATTAATTACCTTATACATCTCATCCACAAACTCTTGGGGATCCTCTCCTACCTTGGAACCAAGAAATACCGGAGGATTCATCCTCACAAAATCCCTCAACCTAGAAGCCATAGTGCTCACAGTAGGGTTCACATGAGTCTCAAAATGTCACGACCCAAGCCTAGGGCCTAGACGTGACATGGCGAATGAGGAACCCGAAGGAACCCCAAACAAGCCTCTCAAACTTGTCATCACACTTCATCGGTCGCGGAAGTACATTCAACATTAATTAACGGGAAATAGGGACTAAGGCAAACCATTTCAAAATGACATCATAGAATAAGAGTCAAGCTCGTTTACAAAATACTTGTCCAACTCACACCTCTACATACATAGATAGGACGGGGGCCATGACATATTACCGGCTCCCCTCATAGTTAAAATACAATTGCAAGCTAAAGTCTCAAAACATAGGAGTAAGAAACATAACATAGCCCTCGAATTATTGAGGACTCACCAACAAACTCGGATAAGCGTCGTACTAGCCACGTGAATGGAGAGAAGGATCAAGAGTAGCTCCGGTCCCTACATGGTGACATCATGTAGGCAAAATATGCGTTAGTACTTGGAATGTACTAAGTATGCGGGGTGCAACACAACAATAAACAAGGACACAATCGAAATACAAGAAATAGTTTCATAGGCATTATGAATAACAATATGAGGATGCATGATCAAAGTGAAGTCAAAACATGTTTAAGTAAATCTATACTAATAGTAGATATCATATGTGTATGCATGATCCAACCAATCTATAACCCCAACTTAGGATGGGGGATGCCGTTCACACCCGGACACCCTGGTGGCAAGGTATAAACCCCTCACATGGTTGATGTTGGTCACACCCCAAGCATCCTAGGTGGTGAGATATAAACCTCTCACATGGTTGATGTTGGTCACACCCCAAACATCCTAGGTGGTGAGATATAAACCTCTCACATGGTTGATGTTGGTCACACCCCAAACATCCTAGGTGGTGAGATATAAACCTCTCACATGGTTGATGTTGGTCACACCCCAAACATCCTAGGTGGTGAGATATAAACCTCTCACATGGTTGTCCGGTTCTTTTCCCCCGGACCGGGCATGGTCATGCAACACTTTATATAAGAAATTCTCATTAGGCTCTAATGCAATCTCACGTATGGAATGAACATATACACAAGCTTAGTTTGTCATCAACACATCTTTGAAGTTCCATACATCTCATAACTCAAGCTTTAAAACATCAATTTATCAATTCTCCATAGTTGGACATTTTGTCAAACACCTTGAAGGCATGTAATGAAATAAAAGAGCATGGAAATTAGGGTAGTAATTATGCAACCAAAACAGTGAACAACCTACAACAACACCTTTACATTCATAACATGATCACATTATCTTCATTGGATTCTCATTCATATAATGTCATGATAACACTCCAATTTCTCATACTATGCCTTTAAGGCCATAAGCCTCACATACCAATACACCAACAATACACCATAAAATAAGCATGGGTAATGACATACTTCAACAATCTAAAGACCTTTAAACAAGTTTGATTCATATACATTCATTATCTAGCAACCACTTCATAAAGGCATAAACTAGGAATAGAGAGAAATCATGGGTTCATGGAGTATTTTCATCTTAAATCGTCAATACAACAACAATATAACCATAAAGTGCCATTAGAAACCTTTTAAAACCATTTGATGGAAGAACCCATGAGATTGAGTGAAAACCTAGATTTTTCATATTTTGAAGTAACTTTGGATTTGGCTCCTTGTATGGAAAATTAGACAAGGATCAAGACCCCCATACCTTTGCTATGATCTCCCACGAAAATTGATGAAGAAAGCCTTGAATCCAAAGCCCTAGCTCCCACTTCTTCTTCTTCTTAAATGGAGGATTGTAGAGAGGGAAATGTTTTTTTTTGGGATGGGAATTGGATTATGGTATCTAGGAATTAATATAAGTCCTTTGAAAAAAAGGGTCCAACACTTAGAAAAAAAAACAGGCGGGTGAACAGTAGATGAACAGTAAAATCAGCTACTGGAATTTGGATTTTCTGCCGGACAGACTTTACGAAAATGGGCATAACTTCTTCGTCCGAACTCCGAATAAGGTGAAACGAAGTGCGTTAGATAGCTAACTCAATGGGCTTTCCATGGATATATTATTGGCCACCAAATAATTTGTGTGCTAGGAGATATGACCCTCCAAAGTAGACCCTCGAAAAAGGCTTCACTTGGAAATTTTGGATTTTGATACGGTTGCTCTAAAATTTGGGTTAGACCCATTTCCCACTCAATTTGACCCCCTAAACAAGAATATGAAGTCGGATTTTCGAAAAACGAAACGGATTTTGAGATATATGGAAATTACAATTATAGGTGTTTCCGAAGCACATTTTCGGGAATTTTTTGGGGTCGTTTCACAAAACCCCTAGTAGCTTGGGCCGTCATGGCTTGGGCTTGAGTAGTTACGACTTGAGCGATTATCAAAAGAGCTGACCTAACTTCTTCATTAGACATGGCTGGAGGATCAACCAGAACTTGATTTCCTTGAGGAACTTGGTCACCTTTAGGACCTTGGGGAGGAACTCCCTCATTCACAATCTCCTCTTCCATCCTTCTTGCATTCGCCCTTATGGTATTCATGTCCTATAAACACAAGACAAGGATTAAGAAAAGAATTTTTATAGAGCTAAACTCTATGACACGACTTCAAGAGTAATGAAACAAGTGAAGTTTCCTAACGTCTTATAGCCTCTCATTCATAAATGTGTCACGATTTACACACATAAACAAGACTCTATTCGACGTGGCTTGTGAGACATCAATCCTAAAAGCCATCCCAAAATCTTGTGCTATGATACCATATTTGTCACTACTAGAGCCCACACCCCGGACGTGACACGACGTACAAGACTCCGAAAAGTCTCATACAAGGTTCATAGCATGTCATCACATAAGATAATAGAAATAGTACGGAATATAAAACTCTTTTTAATCCATAAAATTGAAAATATCATTTAAAACAGCGGAAATCTACTTGTCTCACATGGCGATCTAAAATCATCTTTGAATCAAAAGTAGGGTCACGACCCTTTACGATAGAAGTCTAACAAATGTCTAGTACAATGAAGAAAAGAAACATCAATAAAGCACTTGTTCTCGAATCCATGAGGACATACCACTAGCCTTGGAAGAACTCAATCCAAGCCCTTGAACTAGAGAGAATCAACTCAAATGCCCGAACCTACACTTTGTAGAAAATAAAAGAAATACGGGTTAGCACATTTAATGTACTAAGTATGATAGCCATGCAAAAACCATGCTTAAAAAGGAAATTTTATTTGAAAAATCATGCTATATGCCAATTTGAGAAAACTTCATGAACATAAGTATAAGAGGCATAGATACAAGCATAATCATCATACAAGTCATTTCATCACATTAGAGCTTTCACCTTAAGTAACCCTAAGCTATACTTGTGCAATGTATGAATAGCGTTCCATACCACCATCCATACTAAGTACCACTTTGAGGTCACCAAAAGTGGACTTACCATTCTTCCTTTTCATCTTTAGACAATACACATACATAAGGAACGTAAACATTTCATAAGTCATGACAAGGAAGTAACTCATAATACCATCCAAGTAAGCATGAATCATTACATTAAGCATTTAAGTCAACATTCTTCATAAGCTTCCTTTTGAGCACATTCATTCATTAGACATTAAGACATTGGAGAATCACACCATAGCCTCTCAAAGCCTACTCGTGAAATGCATGGATGACATCCCATACTACCACCCACACTTCATAAAACCTCTCAAGTAACTATAGCATGTATCTGACATGATGGGAATAAGCATTTAACCGACATAGACCATGTGAGCTTAACATGGAATCCGGTGTCTTGCCCCACACCGTAAAGAGGTGGTCTACTTTCCTAAGGTAGGACCGGTAACATTTTAGCCTAGGTGTATCCACTAGCTAATAACCTATGTGGGCACATAGTTATGGGATATGAAGATGTTCATTGGAACCCTAACCTAATGTGGGCAGAGTTTCCATCTTACCATAACCACTCGGTGCTTAGCCTCCATTTCAATAGAGTAGTTCATTCACATTAACATTATTGTACTTGAGAGGAATGCCATTGGCTTATCGACCCACGGTATATTATTACACATGAAAGGAACGCCATAAGCCTATCGATTCATGGTACATTATAAAGATAGCTCATTGAATCCTCATGAAAGGAACGCCATAATCCTATCGATTAAAGATTCATCTTTACATTAGTTCATGCCATAAGCCTATCGATTCAAGATTCATCATTACATTAGTTCATTAGCTCATTATGAAAGGGATGACATAAGCCTATCGATTCAAGACACATCCTTAGAACACATTCATTAGTCATTTATGAAAGAAATGCCATAAGCCTATCGATTCATATTCATTAAGTTAAGACACATTCATTAGTCATTTATGAAAGGAACGTCTTAAACCTATCGATTCATGTTCATTAAGTCAAGACACATTCATTACACAAGAAGAGTATGTCTAAGCCTACAAATTCAAGATACAACAATCCACATTACTTTCATTTATACAAGAAGAAGATGCCTAAGTCTACCAATTCAAGATACAACAGTACATTGAAGAAACCCTTCACATTCTATCATCATCATTCATAAGTGTTAATTGAGAATAAGCTTTCAATAATAACACAATTACATTCTAAACATGATCATAATACTTTCATTCACTGTAACCACATGCATATACTTCACATCATGATCATACATAAATCCTTCATAAAATTGCCCTCCAAGGCAATGAATCAATCTCAACCCAAACATCTAGAATACTACATTAGATAAGAGGAGCATCATGATTCAATTCAATAACTAATTCAATATAAACATAAACCATAATCAATCAACCTAAATCACAATTCACAATTTAGTATTTTGGGGGTAACATGTGTTCATAGGGAAATTCCATCTTAATTCATCATTAATTCAATAATCCATTCATAATTCATCACATATAAACCTTTGAAAATGTTTTGGAATTGAACCCATTCTTAGAATGAAACCCTAGCTTTTGGGGGATTTTAAAAACTTGAAATCATCTTTTGAAAGGGTTCCTTGAATGAAACTTAATCAAGGATGAAGACTACCATACCTTTATGGAAGAAACTCCACAAAAATTGAGTGACAAAAGTAAAATCTTGAGCTTCAAAGCTTGACTCCTTCTTCTCCAACGGTGGTTTCTAGAGAGATAATAATGAATTTACCCCTACATTGGCTGAATCTTTACAGCAACACAAGGGTGATCTATGCCCCAGACCTACGGACCGTAGGTGGGCTCACGCCCCATCTTGTAGGTCCGTGGTTTGGGGATGGAACTTGAAACTTGGGGCCTTGACCTATGGACCACTCCCACGTGGCATGGATGGACCTACGGGTGTAGGTCCCTTCCGTAGGTCCCCATCTTTTTGACAACTTTTGCTAAGTTGGGGCAGCCTTGGAGTTACGCTTTAGGGTCCCCTCAAGGACCCTTGGTTGGTTTTTGGGGGGTCGTACCTTGACGTTTAACACCTTAACCCCTCAAACAAAGCTCGGGAACTCATTTTACAACTCAAAACCCCACATCAAACTAAAAAACAAACTCGGTGGTTCGCCGAGTAATCTTTGCCATCATTCATCATTTAGTTCAAGAGCTGCTTGATCTCAATATCAATCTCAATCTACATCCTCGCCAAAATAGTCCTTGACCCTTTGCCCATTCACCACTAACGTCTGGATGTTTTTGCCTTTAGGCTCTACTGCACCATGTTGCGTCCTCCCCGCCACTTTGAAGGTACCACTCCATTTAGACCTTAGTTTCTCAAGGAATAATCTAAGTCTAGAGTTAATGGTAGTACCTTTTTGCTCGGAGTGAAAGTGTGAGGGACTATGGAATTGTCATGCAATCTCTTGGTCTTATGTTTATATATCTTAGCCTTTTCGTAAGCATAGAGCCTAGACTCATCAAGTTCATGTCATTGACCAATTCTCTGTTTATTGGCTAGCTCAGGGTCAAGATTCAACTTCTTTATCACCCAATAAACTTGGTGCTCTAACTCCACCGGAAGATGAAATGCTTTTCCGAACACCACGTGATTGGGAGAAGTCCCTATTGGTGGTTTATATGTAGTTTTATACACCATAAAGCATCATCAAGCTTCTCGGACCAATATTTGCATTACGCATTCATTGTTTTTGCAAGATTTGCTTCACCTCACGATTCGACACTTCAACTTGACCACTAGTTTGTAGGTGATATGTGGTAGCTACCTTATGTCATATACCATAATTAGCAAGAAGATTCTTCACTAAATAGTTAATGAAGTGCTTACCTCAATCACTTATGATTGCCCTTGGAGTACCAAAATGAGTTACAATGTGCTTCTTGATGAATTGAATTACCTCTCTTAAATCATTAGTCGGAAGAGATACAACCTCAACCTATTTTGACACATCATCAACTTCCACAAGAATATATTGGTTTTCATTAGATGATAGGAAAGGAACCCATGAAGTCAATACCCCATTTATCAAAGATTTCCACCTCAATAATATTTTTCAATGGCATCTCATGTCTTCTAGATATCGTACCCAATCTTTGACATTGATCTGTCACGACCCAAAATGAGTCGTGAGTGGGACCCACACTTAACCTCCTAAGTGGGTGAACCAAGGAATCCAAACCCCAACATATATCAATAATTCAACTACGAATAACAACAATTATACGGAATCTCATAACTTATTAAAGTAACCAATCAAATAAGTCTCTAGCGTCTAACACTTATTATCCCCAAAATATTAAAGTCATCACATCAAGGATATCTAATCTTCAAATACTAAGTCTAAGAGTATTAAAGACACCAAAATAAATGAATAAAATAGTTTATGTCCGAAAACTAAGGACATCAGACCATGACTAAGAGAATCCAACATGAGCTGGAATGAATAGCTCACCCTGGAACCTGATGTGCTGGAGAATAGCTAGAGCTGAGGGCGAGTCGAAGTCACTGATACACTCGCTGCACTCCACAAAAAGAAAACAAAGAAAAACACAAGTAGGGCTCAGTATAGGGCAACATGTACTGAGTAGATATCATCAGCCAACCCAAAATAGAAGCTAATATGTAATGAATATTTGTATAAAATCAACTATGACACTTAGTAGGTGGCAAGCAACAAACACATGAACCAGTGTCAACAAAACTAAAGTAAGTATGTAATCAGTGAACAATATCAAGATCACACATGAGGACTCATGTCTCCAAACCACACTAATTTGGGAATTGAGTTCTTTGAGATTGAGTACATTAAGTTAATTCAATACCTTTTTCCTTTAATGTTACTGTGTCGGAACGTGACACTCCGATCCAATTATACCTTGTCGGAACGTGACACTCCAATCCAATAATACAGTGTCGGAACGTGACACTCCGATCCAATTTACCGTGTCGAAACGTGACACTCCGATCCAATAATACCATGTCAGAACGCGATACTCCAATCCAATTACACTGTGTCGGAACGTGACACTCCGATCCAATAATATCATTAATTTATCATTTATTATCACCACTTTCAATTCATTAACAATATTTCATCAAGCCTTCTTTATTCAAGGCATCACTTCGATAGAGAGGGTTCAAGATTATAAATTCCACGGTCTCAGGATTTCAGACCAATCACAAACCACACAACCAAGCTACACCTTCACTCAATCAAGTACATAGAAAACTTCACAATATCATTCAATGCATATCAATCACTATTAAGAGTCTATCTATCAAATAGAATAACCATAATTTACCACCACCGAAGAACCGAAGTCAAGCAAGCTACTTCTCCAATACTTTTCCTTTCCTCAATGCCTCCGAACCTTTCCAATCTATCAAGTATATATGCATAATTTGTAAGTTAACGAGTCTATAAACACTCAAATTATTCTTTTTCTAGCCTAGACCCAAAAAGTCACCTAATTTTATAATCAATTTCCTAAAGTTCAAACCTAAGGGTAAGTTTTAACTCCTCCAATTAGCATAACTTTAGTGGAATTTAACTAATTCAATACACCTAATATTTAATTACCTATCTCAATATATTCAAAATATAGTCTATACTGTGAGAACAAAATATTTTAATATATGAAGGTGGAAGCCACTGGTTACGAAACTAGTGGCAGACTAACAACAACGTCCAAAACTTAAATTTGATCAACAGTCATTGTACAACCTTAGTTTCTCCTCTTAATTGTTTGATCTCCACTTTCCAATCACATGCACCTTTAACTATTCAATGTCATCCTTATATAGCCATAATAATAATCCTATAATAATACAATAAAATAAGGACCACCACGTTACCACCAGTAACTTGAACAACCATGTATTCTAACCCCTAAATCTATCATATACTGCCAATTATCATTCCCCAATAGTCATCATTACTTATTAATTACCGGCGTATTCGACCTCTCGGAGGTCTTATACAAGACCTTA